GGTATACAATTTAACAACATCTGATTTGTTAGACAAACACTGGGAAAATGGCACACGCACACACCCCGGGCTTCACCGATGATGTCTTTATGTCTCATTTCCCACAAACTGGAAGATATGCAAGTGAAAAGCAACAAGCTAGCAGAAGAAGCATCAAAGATAGGACTTCAAGTGAACACAGATAAAAACAGAGGTGATGAAGATTCCTGGCCAATACCAACAGATAACAATCAGCCAGCATAAATGGGAGGAACCTGAAAGAAACAACCTCCTTGACCTACCTGGGAAGCATCGTTTCAACTACGGGTGGATGGAACTGACTAAGATATCAAAGCCAGAATCGGAAAAGCAAGATAAGCTCTCATTACTCTCAAGTCTGTGTAGAGATAAGTCAACAGCACTCAGCATCAAAAATAACATCCGGATTTTCAACTCCAATGTGAAGTCAGTGCTACTATACGGATCAGAAACTTGGTGCGTCATAAAGAGCACATCAAACAAACTACAGACCTTCATTTACAGTTGTCTTCGCTCAATACCACTCAAGATCAGATGGTCGACCAGAAAAGATCAGCAATAGGAATCTCTGGCAGTGAGCGAACCAACCAGGAACCGATTGTGAAACAAATCTGCAGGAAGAAGTGGAGATGGATTGGCTGGCCATACTCTGAGAAAACCATCAAGTGACATCACTAGACAAGCCATTGCTCGAGTGGAACCCGAAAGGGAAGCGGCGAGTTGGGAGTCAGTGCAAGGGAGGGGTGTCATGTGAAGAGGGAACGAAAGCATGTGGGCAGACTTAGTTCTAGGTGAAAACTTTAGCAGAGAACCGAAGGCAATGGGGACGCGCGGCTGAAGCTCTATGTTCCTCTAGGAATTAAAGGAAATAATAATAATACACACCCTTCTCTAATAATCACCTCACATAATATAACACTTGTTACTGTTGTTGTTGTCCAGTTGTTACACACTACTATGAGAAACTTGTTAGTTTAAATAATATTTACTGACAAACGTTATGCTTGTACAAGGCTTAGCGTTATAAAGTGGAAAATCAAATAATTGAATAATAAGGACACAAAGATTTCACTCAGGTCAAGGTGGTTTTCTTGATGAACACAGTGTACATATGTGAAAATTCTCGTAAGAGATTAATAATACGGCAACACATAGAAATGCCTTTTTATGCACACTAACGAAATAATGAAAATTTTGCAATGAAACATGTTTAAAGAATTATTTTTATTAATTCATGCATTACATGGTATTGGGGTTGATAAAGAGATGAGTTTAATCTAACAATCCAGTGGACTATAATATGAATTATATGGTTTTATTGAGTTAGTTAAGCAAGGAGTATATGAAAACCAAGAAGAAAAAATTGTGCACTAGTTCCCTTTTGATAAACTCCTTTATGGCAACCATTCACTTTCAAACATCACCTATCTAAGATACCTTGGACATAAAAATATCTGCTGATGATATTAAAAAGAAAGATATTTGCGAATCTCATCGCTGGTTGTTTACTGAAGAGATCCATTACAATCATATTTCAACTGGTCAAGATCAGACGCACATACACCAACACACACATTAGTTGCATCAAAAGAAACAAGAATACGGAGGCATACTGGTGGAAAGAACAACCAGTTCTTAGAGACATAAAATCGTGCAGACCTTCATAAACGATTTTGTACTGCCGAGAGTGGCGAGACTTTGGCTCTCCTCTAGAAATGCTCTTTCATATGACCACACATTCATAGCCTTTAACAGGTAGATCCCTACCCATCGCCTTCACGAAGAGATGGTACTCTCCAAAAAAGTGAAAGGGTGAATACGTAAGGAGTAAAGAGCGTATGAACGAGTTTCGGTCACTGAAAACTATAGGAACACAGTACCACTGCCTTGAAAATCACGCTTGAAGTCAAAGGCTAAGGAGTAGAGTGGTTCCTTAAGATAATCACTTGCTTTAGTTTGTGTGTTGAGGCAATATCCTGCAGTATCTCATACAAACTGACACTGGGTGCCCTAGGTGTACCGAATTTCTGTTTAAATAAAAAAGTAATTGTTATCGGGACGGAAGTCTTAATCATCAATGAGTTGTCAAAAAATATGTGACTATAAGTATATGTGTAAAACTTGACCACTGTGCTAGTAAGTAATTCCATATTGTCTGTCTGTCTATCTGTTTTCGACATAGAACTTTGCACAAATGTGCGGAAGTTCAAGTCGCCACACTCCGTGTAGCACGCGAAGCAAGAGAAGAAAGTACAAGAAAAGCATAATAGAAACAGTGAGTTTGTTTATTAGATGTATCACACAGTGAAACAGTATCATTAACTGGAAGACACAGTTTCGAACACAATTTATTGTTCACAGTCATATCAATTGTAATCGCACGACTTTGAAACTTGAGTTTTATAGTTAAGTCTAAAGTTAAGAAATCCACAGAAGACCTTATACGCCGAATTAAGTCGTTTCTAGATGAAACTGAATGGTTTAATTTAATGACCAAAACTAATAACCCTAGTCGGATGTATGGTGTTGTCAAAGTTCATAAATTAGGATGCCCTATTAGGCCTATAGTTGATTTTAGAAATTCACCTACCTATGAATTATCTAAATATTTAGCCATGGTATTAAATCCCCTAAAAATCCACTCGAAATCTAGACAAACTAATTCTTATGAACTAAAACACAGATTAGATAATTTAAAATTAGATAATGAAGAAAAAATGGTTAGTTTTGACATTATCAGTTTATATACACGTATACCAATAAATATGGCTATAGAGGCGGTCAGAAACGAACTCATTTCTGATCAAGAACTCGAACTTAGGACAAAAGTGCCACTCGAGGACATAATGTTGGGAGTGCAGCTATGCCTGACTTCCACAGCATTTAAATTCCAAGGGAAAATATACAAACAAACTGAGGGAGTTTCCATTGGATCACCAATATCCCCCGTTGTAGCAGATATATTCATGAAATGGTGGGAAAACATAGTGATTGAAACGTTCACCCCCACCCCAAAAGTATGGTGGAGGTAGGTAGATGACACATTCACTGTATTCAGAACACAAGATGTAGACAGATTTTTTGAACACATTAACTCAAAGGTGGAGGCAATTCAATTCACTTATGAATTGGAAAGCCAGGAAGGGGAGCTTCCAATGTTAGATTGCAACGTGAAAAGGAAAGACGATGGGAAGTTAAACACGCTAGTGTTTACAGGAAACCCACACATTCAAACAGATAATTGGACTGCAGATCATCTCATCCTATGTCAGTAAACATAAAATTGGTGAAATGTTTCAGTGACAGAGCACAAAAACTAAGTAGTACCAAGAAAAATCTAAGACAGGAAGTGATACACATAAAAAAGTCTTGAAACTTAATAATTACCCGGATAAACCAGTGAGGAAATATGTAAGGAAATGTAAAAATAAAATAAATAATGATAGCAGCGATAGTGACAATATTAATAACAATAACAATAATAATGATGATAATAATAATAATAATAATAATAATGATAATAACAATAATAATGATAATAACAATAATAATAACATTAACGACGACACCAACAATAAGGAATCTAAATCATCAGTAGTAATCCCATACACAGGAACCTCGAAAGCCTGGTGGTTGTCTTATAGGGCTGCCACTTCCAGAATTTTCGACTGGATGTCTGATCCACAAGGTGGTGGAGAAGTGTTATGAACTGCACGCACACACACTCACTCGGACAAATATGCACATGTGATAATTTGACATCAAGGATGTATAGAAATTGGAAGGGGTGTGAAATTATAGGATTAGTAGGCGAATAGAACAAAAATGAAAACGTTACATAACATTGTGCGAAATTTGAAAACATAAAATGCAACATTGGAAAACAAAATCGATTTGGAATGACAAGTGGAACAAGTGAAATAATACCGGGTGACAGTTCAAAGTGAGAATAGTAATAGTAGCGATTGACGTTATGAGGGGAAGAGAATGCAAATTGAATAAACAAAACGAAAAATAGGTAGAACCGAAATATGATCAAGGATTACCATACTTTAGCATAGAGGGATTAAGACCACGAAAGTTGAAGGGGATCTTGCTTTTCCGTTGTGACGGTCAAAGTTGGCTTCAGCAATACAGATACAGTCGGATACATGGTGATTTGGACAAAATACTTTCTGCTTTGTAGATGACTTTATAGGTGAAGGCTGTAGAGATTTGACATTAGTCATTAGAAATATGTGATGACTATTTACTTTTCCTGTTGGTAGAAATGTTTGCCGACAAGTGAACTTCAAAGGAACTCACTTCAGTTTATGTAATTTTTTGACTAGATATTTTGATGGTTAATGAAACCCGAATAATTCTGCTGAAGAAGCTGTGGCTTATACAGTGGAACGTTCAGAAAAATCTTATTTTGATTTCTTAAATACGCCGGGATTATTTTATATAATTTATAATGATTCAGTCTGACTCGGTACTCAAATTATTCCAGGAAATTCGTAACATCTACGTCTGGATACTTATAATCTGCGTCTGACAGTCTACGGTGATCAAAACAAGGCCATACGGCGTTTGATCCTTTTAGATTCCGGAGGTCATGTATAGCTTCCCTAGATAGACAAACCAGCATGTCCATCAGTCAGGGTATAAGCACCTGACGTTTGTATTCATTCTTTTACTTCTGTGCCGCCATCGCACTACAAGAAGAGGACCGAAGTCCACTTACCCTCGGGCACATAGGAGCATAAACGCGAAATGAAGGTTTAGTAAAAAAAATACTCCTATGATACCTGCATGATAAACACTGACATCTACGGTGATTGATCTGTCCAGCAGAATTATATCCTGCTGGTGTGCATAAAAAAAAGCAGTGACTAGTCCTTAACTAGTCAGTAAATCACTTTTTAAATTAGAATTTAAAAACTTAAAGCCGAAAAATGAAAAATATTCATTCATTCAAGCATCGAAAATAGTTGACTTACTTTGATGAGAAAATATAATAAGAAAGGCCTTCAGGAGCAGTCCATTTAATTGGGAATTTAGCACCATTTCTAGCAGTGTATGTGTCTTGACGTTGCATATATCGAGCAAGGCCAAAATCAGCAACTTTAATCAAGTGTCGCTCACCAACCAGACAGTTTCTTGCAGCCAAATCCCTACATATAAAAAATATATACAATTTTTCGAATACAGTTTATGCATAAGTTGGCAACAGATTCCAAAAATGTAAAAATAATATATCTAGGAAAGACAACTAACTATTTTCAAGAGTCAGTTTGTAGAGACTTGATTTGTTTTAAATTCGATCACGCGTTGATGTCAGTTAGGCAACCACTGGAAACCACGGAGGAGTACTGGATAACTGTTCTATTCTAGTTTGGGGCCCTTCAGAAACCCGCACCCACAACCCCCACTACTGGCTACCTTCAAATTGTGACGCTCGTTGAGCCCGTTGACAGTTCAACCACGCCGGTAGGAATCCAATCACCCATGAATTTTAACTTCTGTCACATCATTAACAAACTCTTGAAATGAATCCGATGCTCGTTAGTGACTGGTTACAGGAAAAGTACTGATAAGAATTCGTGACCGGTGGGAACAACCCTGGGTAAGATGTGAGGACAGATACTCTCCAATTACTTTGACTGGCAATGTCTCCAATTTTCCAGTGGGTTACTTCTACAAAGACTTTTGCATTTTATACATTTTAAATGGCAAGTTATCTCAAACTCTGATTATTGTTCACTTTGTCATTCAACAAAGGATGTTATTATTATTATTGCTCCTACGGATTCCTAGTGGAACATAGGGCTTCAACTGCACGTCTCCACTTGCTTCTGTCTTCCTTCTGCTGTACTTTTCACCTGAATCCATGTCAGTTAGTCCATACCCTTTCAACTCCTCTTCACACCATCTCCTTCATATCACCCTCACACTGACGTCCCACTCGCCGCCTGCTTCCCTTTCGGCCTGGTTCCACTCGAGGGCTTGATGCGCTATGTCACCCAGCGGGCCTCCTCAGCCACGAGTGTCCAATCCATCTCCACTTTCTCCTGCTTATTTGTTGGTTGGCGATTCGTTATAGCTTTGTCTGTTCCCACAGTTTCTTATCGGTGATTCTTTCCGACCCGGCCATCTAATGTTCAGTATACAGCGAAGACAGTTGTTAATAAAGGTCTGCAATAGCCTGTTGGAAATATTCTTTGAGACCCGCTCACCCGCCAAGTTTCTGAATCAATCCGTATAGAAGAACTGACTGACGATGTTGTTTGCATTGAAAATCTGACCGAATTTTGTTGTTGATTCTGGCTGAGTGACGAAGATTTCCAGATTTGTTTCAGGTTGATGAGTAATTTGTTTCTCGCCTTCCCGATTCTCGCTCGATTTGAGATCCTCATCCGTTCCGACATCCTGTAGTTGAGACAATGCTCCCTAGACAAAAAGATATTCAAACATACAATGATTTAGAGCACTTTTTGACGCTAATCAAGATTCTAGGACAAATTTCATTTCACACCCACCCACTCAGTAGTCAGCAGTTGTTTTCGCATAACTGTATTTATGGCTATTGTAATTTGTAAATGCATGGCATACATATGCAGGGCATATAACCGAACAATATTGTTTTCAATTAGATCTTCTTCAGGCTTTACTCTAATTTACATAGACATAAATAAAATTTTTTAACCAATGACGGTGATTTTGTGGATCAAATAGTAATAATAACAATGATAGTGTGGTAAATGTTTTGAACGAAATTAATAACGATGATTATAATGATAACAAAATATTGATAATATGGTTTATGCAGATGATAAGAATAACAAAGGCAGTAATATGTGTATATGTAGACAATTCCATAAATAAATAAATTAGGTAAAATCTTAAAAGGTGAAGTGGACAGATAATCAGCGTTTAAATAAATATCATAAAAGTACGAAGGAGATAGAAGATAAAAAGGAGGGTTTTGAATAGAATTCACCCAGGCCAAGGGAGAGACAAAGGTAGAAAAAACTTCTTTTGTTGTATGCAAAGACTAGGATTGTTCTCTCGAATTCCCATAGCTTCGGCTATGTGTAAAAGACGGATTCGAATTCCGTTCGAAAGGCTCGATGGAATGCGATAGATAACTTTGAAGGCACTATTTTTGTCCACTTGGTGACCGCTATCAATCAAATGAGCCAAAATAGAACTCCTCATAGATTTTATTTAACCTTTTCTGAACCATGAAGGAAGATGCTCATTAATGCGTTTGTTAAGCTGTCTAGTTGTTCAGCCTATGTAACTTTATCCACAGGAGCAAGTAAATTTATAGATACACACCGAAGGGGTACAGCTAGATAGCTTATCTTTCACTTGAGCAATCAAAATTGGTCGGCTGGAAAATGACAAACAAAAGGTGGTGGCAGTATAAGTCCGTTTTATCGCTCTCGATAATCTCTCATGTAAGACTTCGCTAGCCACGTCCCCATTAAATTGCAGTTTCATGAACAGTTGTTTCTTTTCAACTGTTGTCAGTTTCTCTTTATTGTACCTGGTATTCATGTGTCTCCTTACAAATCTACTAGGATAACCCCATTTGGACCAGCGTATTTTGGATGCATCTTAGCTCATTTTCTAGGGGGTCATCTGTACAGATACGTCTTGCTCTATTCATGAGGCATCTGACCAAATTGACTTTGAATCGGATTGGTAAAAAACTGAGGAAATGTGTATACTGTCCTAAAGATGAAGGTTTTCTATAGACAACTCTCTTGAGTGAACCATCCTCTCTTCTGCCCAATATATATGCAGGCTAACGACTAGAATTTATTCGCAAACTAAAGCGTAATTACCAAACAACCGCTTAAAACATTTTAAAATGTAAGTACACATTTATAAGAAAATTCCATTGGTACTAAAAATGAAATAAGTCCTTTAACGCTAATACTATCCCACTGCTGTGACATAAACAAGAACAAAAACGAAGCATTTGAAGTAGAACTATTATTATTATTATTATTATTATTATTATTATTATTACTATATTATTGTATCCTTTAGTTCCTAGAGGAACATAGGGCTTCAGCTGCGCACCTCCATTGCCTTCGGTTTTCTGACAACTTTTTCACCCTGCTCCAGGTATGTCCACATGCTTTCATCTCCTCCTCGCATGACCTCCTCCAAGTCACCCTTGCACAGACGACCAACTCGCCGCCTCCCTTCCGGGTTCCACTCGAGCAATGGCTTGCCTAGTGATGTCACTTGATGGCTTCCTCAGAGTATGGCCCAAGCCACCTCCATTTCTTTCTGCCTATTTGTTGCACAATCGGTTCCTGATTGGTTCGCTCCCAGAGATCCCTGTTGCTGATCTTTTCTGGCCATCTGATCTTGAGTATTGAGCGGAGACAGCTGTTAATGAAGGTTTGAAGTTTGTTTGAGATGCTCTTTATGACTCGCCAAGTCTCTGATCCGTATAGTAGCACTGACTTCACATTGGAGCTGAAAATCCGGATCTTATTTTTGATGCTGAGTGCTGTTGACCTCCACACAGATTTGAGAGTAATGAAAGCTTGTCTTGCTTTTCCGATTCTGGCTTTGATATCCTCGTCAGTTCCGCCTGTAGTTGAAACGATGCTTCCCAGGTAGGTAAAGGAGGTTGTTTCTTTCAGGTTCCTCCCATTTATGCTGATTGTTGTCTGTTGTTGTTGTTGTTGCTGTTGATGTTGGCTAGGAATCTTCATCACCTCGGTTTTATCTATTTTCACTTGAAGTCCTATCTTTGATGCTTCTTCTGCCAACTTGTTACTTTTCACTTGCATATCTTCCAGTTTATGGGAAATCAGACATATATCATCGGTGAAATCCAGATCCTCCAAGTCTTTTGTGTCAGTCCATTTTATGCCTGTTCCCTCGTTGGTTGCCGTTGTCTGTCGCATTATCCAATCAATTGCAATCAGGAAGATCATTGGTGATAGTAGACAGCCTTGCCTCACTCCCGTCCTCACTTCGAAGGCTTCCGTAAGTTTCCCGTTGTGGATTACTTGGCATGCAGCATTGTCGTATAACTGTTGGATGAGGTGTATAATTGTCGATGGGACCCCGTAGTAGCGAAGTAGTTTCCAAATGACCTCTCGATCGACGCTGTCGAAGGCCTTTTCAAAGTCGATGAAGTTGAGATAGAGAGGTGACTGCCATTCCAAGCTTTGTTCAATGATGATCCGTAGAGTGGCGATTTGATCAATACATGATTTGTTTCTCCTGAACCCGGCCTGTTCCGGACGAAGTTTTTCATCTAGGGCTTGTTTGATTCTCTCCAGGATGATGCGACTTAGTATCTTGCTTGGAATGGACAGAAGCATAATTCCACGCCAGTTTTTACATTGACTTAAGTCTCCTTTCTTTGGAAGTTTGAATAAGTATCCGTTCTTCCAATCCTCGGGTACTTTGCCCTCTTTCCACACCTTCTCCAGCAGTGGTGTCATCAAGTCCGCTGTTGTCTCTGGGTCTATTTTCAAAGCTTCTGCTGGGATTCCATCTGGTCCCGGTGTTTTCCCAGCTTTAAGCATCTTGATTGCATTCAGGATTTCTGATTTCGTCGGGGGGTCAGTGTTCACTGGTAGTTCTGCTTCCGTTGTTGGTATATACAGTCGACTGGCAAACACTTGTATACCTACCTACTGAAACTTTGATAAGTAAAGATTTCAAACTGGTGGCTTAAATATATTTCATTCAATTTTAGATTTTCCCGTCGATTAATCGAACTGAATTGCTCGGTCTCAGGTTGACATGTCAGCTTCTTGTGCAGATGCTTCGACGACGTCTGGGCATGTAATTAGCAATGGAATCGAGGATGCGCATTTCGTTCTATTTGGGACTGGTGGTCAGTTGAATGTACCTGCATTCCGCAGTAAGTGATGATGTTGCCACCGATGCCCGAGTGGTCTGGCGAATAACGCTTTGGGTTTTGAAACTATGGGTACTGGGTTCGAGCCTCGGTGGGAACATCGTCATTCGCTGAGGTGTGCAGGTACATTCAACTGACCACCAGTCCCAAATAGTACGAAATGGGCATCCTGGATTCCACTGCTAGTCTACTACCATCTACCAATGAACTTCTGGTGGCCTAAATGTTTAAGTTGTAATTACACAGACTAATGACCTACAGCTTCGCTGCAGTTTTATCCGTAATATATATATATATATATATATATATATATATATATATATATACTGCAGGTAGTTTTGTGTGATAAGCTTACTATAACTAAACTTTTTTTTAAACACCTGAAAAACAGAAGTTATGTCAAATGATGAAAGCTGTTAAGACTTAAAAAAAAAACTCGATATTTCATGATATTTCACAAAGCGATTACCTGTGAATAAAGTTATTGGCTTCTAAATATGCCATACCAGAGGCGATTTGTACAGCCATATACAATAAAGTAAGTGGAGTTAATTCACCTGGACTACGTGTGCGTAGATAATTTAGCAGATTTCCATTTGGCATATATTCAGTGATTAAGTAAAGTGGTGGTTCTCGTGTACATACACCTATACAAAGAAAAATAATTAGGCAAAATAAATCATACAAAGCAAAAATGTTATCTCAATAATTCTTGCTGACAAAGACAAATGAGCACACTGCGTTGTGCAAAGTACCAACATACCACAATTTCTCGGGGAGAACTTGAACTAACAAAAAAAACCGCAACTATCTAGTACACACTTTTTCATGCACTAAGAGGTAAGTCAAAATTTATGGTAACATCCAGAGTAAATCAAGTAGAGTACAACCTACTAATCAGTGGGTAAAAATGTGTAGTATGGTTGTGAGATATGGTCACTGAAAGCGGTAGATATGAAAAGACTAGATGTCCATCAATACAGGTGTTTGTGTTCTGTCTTCCGTTTTAAGTGGTGGGCAATATTGAGATGACGTGTAGTGTTAGGTAAGAATGGTGTAAGTCACAATCTGCAAGATTTTGAAGCTATATAGAGATTCCGATAACTAGGATACTTGTTGCACACGCACACTAATTCATCGCCCACCTATACTGGTACTCTTGGCCAACATAGGATTTAGGTTAGCAAAACGTTGGGGCTGGTTAGATCAAAAACCTGAAATCAGTCAATAAAACCTTTAGTAGTTGGTCTGAGGCAGACAAACATAGGGAGATGTAGGCCTTCACTTCACTGCTCCACTCATTTAGGAAGTACCATCAGTTAGTGCCAACAGGTTGATCTCTGACGAAATCTCATCACGGATACACAGGGCTAGTTTACGCCGTCTCTGGCATATATGTGATATCCGGCTTGCTATCAACCAAAGGCCGAATATACTGCTCATCAGTCCGCTTCGTCCTCCTTTATGACCAGCTGTGAGACCTGGCCATTGAGAGTGGGAGACATGAAAAGACTAGCTGTCTTTGATCATAGGTGTCTGAGTTCTATCTCCCGTGTGAAGTGGTATAATAAGGTGAGCAATATTGAAATTAGGCGTCGAGTTCTACGTAAGTAGAGAAAATCAATCAACGAGGCTGTGAAGCTACATCGACTGAGATGGTTAGGACATGTGTTACGCCTAAATGCCTAGCCATCGATTGCCCTCCTCGACCGACTAGCAGTGTTAGCTGACACAGGGTCAGGCTGGAAGAGAGCTGGCTAGCAGCAGTCAAACCAAAACATGTCACCAGTCAATGAAATCCACAACAGTTAGTTTAAGCCAGTCACATAGGAAGGTATAGACTTCCTGACTGGCTGGTTGGGGTCCTCGGGACGGTAAAAACCAATGGATGGAGAGAGTTGGTGATACGGCTCAAGGTGATCGTTCTCAATGGCTAGTGCAGATGCATCCACTCCTTGTGACTTATGATATCCAATGAGACTACATCGTTCTTCATTATTACTATTTCTTTGTCCCACACCTCTGTTTACTGTCTCTAATATGCGTTTCTCCTACCTTCTTCTTTTGCTATGTGTGGTACAAGGAGGGAATGTGGCGACTTGAACTGGTGCACATCGGTGCAAAGTTCTATGTCGAAAACAGACAGGCAGATGTAGGCCTACTTGATTGGAATACTCGGGATTCTAAGAACTAAATATTTGAAGCGTATTAGAGATATAGTTCAAAATCGTTCTCATTGGCGTAGATGCAATCATTCTTCATGATTTCCACAACCAATTTTCTCTTGAATGTAGTCCTTTGAATCTCTTTTGTCTATCTCTTTGTATGTTTCATGGAGGGTGACAAGTTGAACTGATGTACTTCTATGCTTAAATTTTTATCTGAAAGCTAAGCTAACAAGACACAGTTGTCTTACTGAAGCTAAACACCTATTACCTCACAAAAATGATGCATCTCAACAGTAAATACCTTCTCCCTAGAGTCAAGTAAATCATTTCTCACTATTGCATTTATCATCTTCATTTGTTTCGTTGAGTGAACACAACAGTAATAATAATAATAATAATAACAGTAGTATGTAAAGAAAAGTCCAACCAATGATAAACAGTAAATGTTGCAATAGAGAATCTTATTAACACCTATAACAAAACTCTTCCCCTAGATTAAGGTATCGAACAGACACACACACACACACACGTGATCAGATAAAAAGAAACACGAATCACAGTGAAAATAAAAGGAGACTACTCCCTTTTTACAAACATATATATGTATATTATCATTTGCATTGTTGATATGAAAAACAAAAACTGAAAAACATCAACAACAACAACAAAAACTGCCTGCAGTCAATTATGGTATATTTACCACAAGAAACTTTTATTCTTACAAAAAAATTGAAATTTATTAAAATTGCATTTCATTTTTTAAAAATAAAAATAAAAAGGAGAAATGGCTGATTCTACAAGGAAGCAAGCTCTTTTTATCAGGAAAAACAAAACATTCACCATGATTGTCTACAATTTCAGTGGTATCACGCAGACAGAAAAAACTACAACACACACACACACAGATATATATATATAGTCCTGAAGAAAAAGTTCAATCTTTTAAAAAAAGTCCTGATAGAAAATAGTTCCCCGCCACGTTTAATAAACAACAACATACAGTTAAAACCTATGAAATGAGACTTAACCCAGCAAATGCTATACATGAATCTTGAGTTTAAAGGTAACCTTAAAATAACGGTCTCGCAGTCCTAGAAAAGGACATTCACTGAAGCATCGTTGAGAATAGTGTTTTCAAGTCGACCATTACTGTCCAATAGGTTGAAGGACAAAATCCGGCAGCTAACTAACCTATATGGACTGATACGCTCATCTACTCACGTGGGGATAAGCATATCTATCGTTTTGTCCAAGAGGATGTAAGAACACAATTATACATGGTCACAAAAAGGTGATGGTGGGGCGCTATTGTAAGTGCAATAACAACCAAACATCTAGTCGATACTGGGGTCACCTTATTTCTACAGCATCTTTCTCTTAAGTTATCTCCTAAAAGCAAAAAATAACCTGCTCTACCTCATCTATGTTGCTGAAACTTTGGTCATTGAAATAGAAAAGTCAGTTCTTTGTACACAAAAAAATGTTTGTTCAACCCGTCCATCTCTCATCATCTAAATCTTTTTTTTCCTTCACGTTCCCCAGTGGAATATAGGCCTTCAAGTTAGAGGCTTGTAGTTTCTGTAGCAGTGTTTATTTTACAGGATGACGTTGCTTGTCTCATACCCAACCTTTCCTCTTTACCAGCATTATTTCTGGCTTAACGAGGTAAAGGAGTGCGTCCGGCCGGGGATCGAACCCCGGACCATGTCCATGGTCAACGAGCGTCCTAACCACTATGCCGCCGACGCACAAATCTGCTTATGCTAAAGTATAATAGTCCTTATTCATACTTTCGCCCCATTCATTTTTCGTTTTGTCTATTAAGTTTGTATTTCCTTCCCTTATTATGTTGATTGTCATTACTAATTTCACCTTGAAAATTTTCCAGCATTTATCTCACTTGCTACCTTTAATTACATACTTCAATATCGATTTTTTCCAATGCTCGCTTATCATAGTTATCACCACCTTGTTGCGTAATGCTTTAATTGACTACTAATCTTATTATTTCTACACCTCCCTTTGATATATATATCGATATATATATGTAAGGCGAGAAGAGCAATTAATGTAACGCAATAAATCCTTTTTTTCACCAAACATGGTAAGATATGCATAACAAGAATTATCTGTGCAATATATCTTGGTTACAGATATGATTACGAGTTGTCATCCGCTAAAGGACATCTGTCTCGTCCTAGTTTGGGTCTCTTCAACATTAAGCACCCAGTGAAGTTCACACTGAGGAACTTTTCTTAACACGAACCCAATGAAAAGGTAACAGAAAGTGTGTGTGTGTATGTGTGTGTGGGTTCTATCTTTTGAAAAACGTTAATATACACTTCATTTTTTCACACCGCTGTTCATAAAATCTGGAGCATATTCTAATCCGTTTAGTAATAATGTTTGCAGCAAGCAACATCTATTCCATATCATAGATATAAGTGTAACAAAATGATAGAGAAATAAGGAAAGAAGAAGAAAGTGAGAAGTCGTGACCAGTAGGGTGCAGCAGGTCAGGTGTGAGGACAAATACTCGCCAGAAGACATTGGTTAGGGTCGCGCTATGTCGTGAATTGTCAGGAGTTAGAATTCATGGGCTGGCCATTGGATCGCGTCCCAGTGGCTTAATGGTATACGACCTTGCCTTGCAACCAGAAGGTCCTGGGTTCGAACCCTGGCGGTGGGTGCGTACTGACAAAGAGTCCCAAACTAGGACGAAACAGCTGGCTGTCCAGTACTCCCAGGTTTTCCTATGGTTCTCTGACTAATGTCAGCTCATAATGAAATCCTGTAACCAACTAAATCCCTACAAACCAACACTTAAGTAATTACTAATACTTACTTCATTGATTACCATTTATAGTATCAAGCAGATCATCGATATTTTCACCTGAATAATTTAGCTTTCCGAAAGAAACTCTCGTGAAATTTCCCCTTCTCAAATTGTGTACACTGTAAATTGAGAATTTGACTTTAAGGCGTTACTAGTTCGTCCAAGTAACTGACCAGAAATCGAATGGTTTAAACAGAGTTAGCTGCGCCTAAGCTCAGTAAAACCGGATACACCGGTGATGGGCTCGGCGTCAAAAGAGCAAAACGACCATCACTTCAATGACCTGGCTAGCAAACACTATTAACTGATATGAATGCTATAATATTATTAATCTCAGTCAAGCAACAGTAAACAGTTTGACTACTAGTACTAGCTTTACTATGAGAAATAAAAGGGTATAAGACATCTATTGTGTCAGCACTTTTAATTCTTGAAATGTCCTATTACAAAACGAATTTGTATCTCATGTTTCGTCCTGCTTTGAGGCTCTTCAGCAACAAGTATGCATGAATCCGAAGGGGATCAAGTCCAGGACCTTTAAATTAAGAATCGAGTTTCCTGCCCATTCATCTCACTCGGAGCATATTTCGAATCTGTTGACTAAACACACTTTGAAAGACTGTTGCAAACTTTTAAGTTATTGTAAAAATATCCACAAATACTACAGTATAAACAAAAAAATTGATACTGCACACATACCTAACAATTGTACCAAGTTTCTGTTGCGTAATTTCTTCATAATAGCCGCTTCTTTAAGGAAATCATTTACATTCAGATTGACATCTTGCTACACACAAAAAAACACAATATGCAACGCAGGTATTAAGTAAGTAATTTTAGACAAATGCAACAACATGAGATTAGCCTTGTTTATGAGGTCTTTTCTAATATAGTAAGGATAGAAGGAATAAACAGGTGTACAAGTCAAGACGGTGTATGTATGCCAATCATTTTACATTTCATAATATCTAAGGCAGAAAAGTAATTATAATAACTGTCTAGTTGAAATCATTTTTAAAGGCGTATATCAAAGAATTCACTATTATTGATCATTAATTCAAGTAATTTTTAGGTTGCATTCTGTGCTAAATGAACAGTATATCAATCAATGTGTTATATTCCAATTTACTGATTGTCTAATAAAGATCTTCCGTGAACATTTTACTAATCAATATAGCGAAAAGTGACCTAGTGAGTGAGTTGGTGGTGGATGAGTGGTAGAATGCGTACCAACTACGCATGTGTAATCTGGGGGTTTGACTCCTGCCTAACGTATCCGTAAACCTTGGGTCAATGTTGGTGAACTTCTCTCCGTTTGGCGGGAGACAAGAAGGCTGTCATTGCTTAATTGTATACTGGTTGGCAGAAGACTGGAGAAACACGATCAGAAGTATTCTTGTATATTATATTAACGCTTATTTACAGACTAGCACTGATTAACCACTGTAATTTTTTCTTTGTCGCTTGAAAAATTAATAATCCTGTTACCCAACCATTTTCTTTTGTTCTGCGTCGGTTGCAGTGAGTAATATACTGAGCATTAAGCTTAATCTTCTGAAACCAGCGATAAGTCCAGGATCTCTGCGATCTGGATATCTGACACCTTCTTTAGATGTTAGTAAGCCCGTATGGAATCATATCTTCACCCTTCGACAGATTCTAGAAAAGTGGCATTCCTACCGGCGTCCAACAATCACTGTATTTCTTGACCTAAAAGCGGAATTCAATTCTGTCGACGGAGAGGTACTCTGGCGATGCTTGGCTGTAAAGGGAATGACGAGAAAATACATTGCACTGATTAAGGCACTCTACTCTACTCGAACTCATGCAGCCAGGTGAGGGCTTACGGCGAGTTGTCACCTGAAGTGGTGACGACTAGTAGTGCCCGTCACGGATGCCCATTATCTCTATTCCTACTCAACTTCATCATAGATGTACCAATGGACTTAACCCTAACTCACTTCAGCGACTCAGGGATTGACTTGCTACCAGGGAATAATCTCGTTGACTTAGAATATGCAGACGATATAGTCCTTCTAGGTGAGGACGCTGACAAAATGTACAGTCTTCTAAACACCTTGAGCTGCAATCTACGAATGTTTGTCATGCGATTCGCTCCCGCCAAATGTAAGATGATGGTAGAGGACTGGACTACAAGAACTCACTCCTAGTTTAGAAATAGGGAGTGAAGTGGTAGAGCACATTGACCGCCTCACTTATTTAAGAAGTTTCATCAGCCAGTGCCGACGAGTTGATCTCTGACGAAATCTCAGCACGCATACAGAGGGTTGGTTTCGTACATGCCAGTTTATCCCATCTCTGGTATAGACGTGATATCCGGCTGGTTATTAACCAAAGAGCGGGTGTACTGCTCGTCAGTTCGCTCCGTCCTCCTCTATGGCCAGCTGTGAGAACTGGCTATTGAGAGTGGAAGACATGAAAAGGCTGGTTAGCTGTCTTTGATCATAGGTAACTGCGTTCTATCTCCCATGTGAAGTGGTATAATCAAGTGAGCAATATTGAGGTTAGGCATCGGTCGAGTGCTTGGTAGGTGGGAGAGGAATTCAATCGACGGGGCTGTGAAGTTACATAGACTGAGATGGTTAGGGTATGTCTTACGTATGCCTAGTCATCGCCTTCCTCGTTAGCTGACATACGGTCAGGCTGGAAAAGAGCTAGCGGAGGTCAGACCAAAACATGGCACCAATCAATGAAATTTACAACTGTTAGCTTAAGCCACTTAGGAAGGTGTAGACTTCCTGACTGACTGGTTGGGGTCCTCGGGACGGTAAACACCAATGATGGGCTGGAAACAATTGGGTGACATGGCTCAAAATCCTCGTTCTCAATGGCTGGTGCAGATGCATCCACTCCTTGTGACTTATGATTTCCAATGAAACTACATTGTTCTTCGTTATTACTCTTCCTTTGTCTCACACCTCTGTTTACTGTCTTTACTATGCATTTCTTGTACTTTCTTCTCTTGGTTTGTGTGCTACAAGGAGGGAGTGTGGCGACTTGAAGTCCCGCACATTTGTGCAAAATTCTATGTCGAAAACAGACAGACAGACAGTAAGCCCGGTAAAGACGGCAGGTTGGGTGTCAGGTTAGCGACTCTAACTCCATCAAAAAAGAATAACACCACTATTGCTACTGGAATTTACATGCTGAAGACTTGAAGCCCTATGCTCCCACTCAGAAAGCAAAGAAATAAAATAGATAAATAAAGCAATATCTAAAAGTATACACTGACTGTGTACACCACGATATATTTTGCATTCTGAATAAAGTTTTATTGACAAAAGATGAGGTAAAGCCTGGTTTAAATATCAGTCGATTCCAGAGCAGGATATACATCGAACTATGTGTCTATCGATACACGCTAATTAGGTATACTCATAAAGTAAATATATCAAAATTATTTAGGCAAACATACTTTCAACAAATTTATCAATCTGAAAATTACTCAGAGACTAATTACACAATAAGTAGATAATTAAACTTATTGTTGAATAACCCTTTGAGAGTAGTGATGTGCCTATTAATCTTGTCCACAAAAATCCTTGAAATGACTCAGCCATTGGGGAGTATTACCTGAAATTATCTTAGCTAGGGCGAAAGCTAACACCCCTCTCTCTCTCTCTCCTTCTCTTTCAAGATAATTGAACGATACGAGTGATCATATGAAAAGGTATAGAAGTTAACAGGGTCATTTTTGTAGAATGTAACAATTTTCCTCTTTTTGGCAATTTTAGGCCAAAAAAATTAATGAGATCTAATCATCAAATATGAGTTCAGTCTTTGCATGGTGAGATCTTCTTTACACATATTATTATACTATCTTATAAAGTAAAATGCTTTAAGAAATCGTTTTTCTATCGCCTTCCCTCTGCCCCGCATGAACTCATAGAATTCGATTAGATTAGACAAAAAATAAGTGATGTTATCATTTGACCAGTCTCATAAGTAGACAGTCTAGCAGTAGTCCCAATTATTAACCATTTTTAACGATTTCTGCAAAATTCTCCAGATATGTAATACAAATAAGTCAATGGAGAAGGTGGACGTTTTTGGCACTAGTGGTTGTGCTTTCTAAGCTGAACAGGATAAAATTTTAAGCTTCAACTTCAATGTGAAATAATTCTTCCGAATTTTTTCATGAAGGAAAAATCCGCCGGTTATGGCGATACACAGCTTGACTGTGTAACCCTGTTTCAGTAGATATCTTCATGTCAAACCTTGAGAAAACAAAGTTGAAGCATGCAATTGATCAAACAACTTCTATTGTCGATATTTCGATAACATATTTGCAGTATGCAACAACGAAAGTCATGCTTCCTACCTACTCAGACTATTCAACAACGCACATACAAATATTGTATTTACTAGGGAACACGAAAATGATGGAAAGCTCCGTTTCCTTGACATCGCCATGCAACAAAGCCTGGAAGATGGCAGTCTCCAGAAGTCAGTCTACCGAAGGCCCACATGGAATGGACATTTTACATTTATATTTTAATAATATTTGTCCAAATAGCTATAAACGAGCACTAGTCAAGACTCTGTACTATAGAGCGAGGAGAATATGCTCTACAGAGAAACTAGAAGAAAAGGTGCTGAAAAACAACAGCTATCCTCAAACATTCATTAACAAATATGGCAGATGTGAAGGCTCGAATACCAAACAAGTAACAGTTGAAAAAAAGCCTGTCTTCATTCAACTACATTTTAAAGGTGTAAACATTGCAGAAATGGTCAACAAAAGACTGAGAACGTCACTAGCCAGAGCCTATCCTGCAGCTAAGTTGGTTCTCGTCCATCGAACAGTATGCTCTTTGGTGCAGTCAAAAGTCGATAGATATCCTTCTGATGTTAACTCCAACTGTGTATACAAATTTACGTGTATCTGCGGGAGCAGTTACATTGGGAGAACAGAAAGAAGGGCATACCTCCGATTTTCTGAACATGTGCCGAAAAGCCTACGTTTTAAGGAAACAAACTCTTATAGTAGCGCTATTACCAGACATCTCCTCGACACGGGTCATGAGGTAGAAATCGAGAAATCCTTCAAAATTATCAATAGACAAACGAGCTCCATTTTCCTCAAGTTGGCCGAAGCAATTTCTATCAAACGCTTGAAACCAGATTTATGTGTTCAGAAAGAAGCAGTTATTAGTTTTTCCTTGCCCTGATAAGTGAATGTCTTTCTCCTCTCATCTGATTACGTAATCTTTGTCTTTAGCCTCAACCCATTTATAATCTGTAATTTTGCTGGTCTCTTGTTTCTATGATTTGAGTTGAACTAAATGCATTGTTACCTAATTTATTAGTCACTCTGCATCTAACGCATACCTCGTCATTATTACGTAACTCCTTTACCATTGTATGCATAAATTTATTTTGTTTAAACTTGAACTACCTGTGTAGCAACTATATAAGCGAAACTTTCTGCGCATTGTTCACTAATTGTGGAACTTTCTGTCACCTGACAACATGTAAAATTTGCAAGTATGTTAAAACGTTCTGTATGTAAACCTCATTATTTATTTGGGCTGTAAGCAGATGATGAGAGACCAACGAAATAAATGATGGTATCATAGTATTCTGCACAAACCACTGTTGTTCCCGCTTTATTCAAATGCATCAAGGGGAATAAATGCATGAAGCTTGACTGTGATTGGTAATGAAGAAATGGTATCTTACACTAAACAATCAATTGGGATTCAATGAAGATGGTAACATGAATCGCACCTATTGTATGAAGGCTAGTGACACTACCAGGCTATCCAAAGCTTGATAGGCGAAGCAGGGTTGCATGTCAAGCGTCTAGACCAATGAAGCCATTGCTCAATTTAACTGACGGTCCCCAGAAACATTCTCATGATTGTAATCATTTGTATTGATGATGGTGCATTCGCGTTCATGAGAAAGATAGAGGATCAGCAGAAAAGAAAGAAAGGTATTTCATTCACAGAGAATCTGCAAAGTTCACTGTACATTGCAGTCAGCTTCATTATTAAAAACAAAAATATCGAAAACAAGAGCTTCATACTTAAGTCAAACTAAGTAGAGATGTGCGCGGTGGCATAGGGGTTAGGAAGCTCACAGACTATGTACACCGTCCGGAGTTCCATCCCCGGCCGACGCACACCTTTACCTCACCAAGCCAGAAATAATGCTGGTAAAGAGGAAAGGTTAGGCATGAGGCTAGCAACCTCATCTTGTAAAATAAACACTGCTACTGTCTGTCTGTCTGTTTTCGACATAGAATTTTGCACAAATGTGCGGGACTTCAAGTCGCCACACTCCCTCCTTGTAGCACACAAACCAAGAGAAGAAAGTACAAGAAATGCATAGTAAAGACAGTAAACAGAGGTGTGAGACAAAGGAAGAGTAATAACGAAGAACAATGTAGTTTCATTGGAAATCATAAGTCACAAGGAGTGGATGCATCTGCACCAGCCATTGAGAACGAGGATTTTGAGCCATGTCACCCAATTGTTTCCAGCCCATCATTGGTGTTTACCGTCCCGAGGACCCCAACCAGTCAGTCAGGAAGTCTACACCTTCCTACATGGCTTAGACTAACTGCTACACTGCTACATAAACTTCAAGCCACTAGCTTGAGGCCCTATGTTCCACTGAGAACGTAAAGGAAAAAAATTTCTTTTTCAAGTAGAGACGTATAAAAGTGGCAAGATAACTACTAATTTAAAATTAAAGGGGAAGATAAAAACAAGAATAAATTTAAAGATTAAAGGTGATTAAAATTACTTTGAGTGTTTTCACTGCAACAACAGAATTGAAACGCTTCCATACAGCTTCATATACATCACCATATTGACCACAGCCTAAATGAACGCAGAAAAATAATTTATACAAAAAGCTTTAAATGTCAGATAAAAAACACAAGGTACTGAATACCAAAACAAAAAATTACAACTTATAGGATTTTTAAACAGTACACACATAAGGATATCAAAACCAGCCAGGATCGAATAAAGCAAGACACAGACCATCATATTAATCTGAAATCAGTTTGAAAATCTACTACACTCAGCATAACAGGGTCGCCCATTCTCTCCATTTCTCTTTACCTTTCCCATCGATGACATTCTGGAGTTAGCTCTGAAGGATGTGCGTGGAGGTGGTGTAGATCTGGTACCTGGAGATAGACTTTTCGACCCCGAGTATGCAGACGATATCGTCCTACTGTACGATAGCATGCAGGCTGCCCAAATCGCACTTAATCAGTTGGTGATCAGTGTCTGTAAGTATGGTATGTGCTTTGCGCCGTCTAAGTGCAAAGTACTGTTACAAGATTGACACGAGCCTGTACCTGCACTCACTCTTACGGGTGAACCGCTCGAAGTTGTTGATACGTTTGTGTACCTGGGTAGTTGTGTGAGTGCTGGCGGAGTGTTGACGGATGAGATCTCCAACCGTATAATGAAGGCTAGGGTGGCATACATCAACTTGAGCCACCACTGGCGCCGCCTCCACGTTAGCCTGACTATCAAAGGTCGGGTATACAATGCTTCGTTGTGGGCTGTCTTACTCTACGCCTGTGAAACCTGGCCCCTCCGAGTAGGCTGAGGATGTCCGGCTACTCTGCGTGTTCGATCATCGCTGGATTGCTTGCGTTCGATAGCGTCATCATGTGAGTACTTCTGAGGTTCGGCGGCGTGTGTTTGAACACAGTGGAGATCACCATCCACTGAGTGTCGTCATCTGGAAACGCCGGCTCCGGTGGCTCGGACATGTGCTTCGAATGTCATCCCAGAGGCTTCCGTACAGGTCTCTGTTCGCTAGCCAGCCCTGGGACGGTATGGAAAAGGCGGAGCGGTGGTCAGTCCATGACGTGGCGTCGTGGGATGAAGGGTGTTTGTGCTAGATTAGCATCGGTTGGTGCGTCACGACTCCCTGGTTGGGGTCCGAGAGATAGTTCGAATCGATGGCTCGAAACGGTATCGGATATGACCAAGAATCGTAATCAATGGCGAAGGTGTCGCAATTTCCTTCTTTCTTCCCTTCCCGATGATAGTTAACGAATACTGTTTGAACTTGTTAAGCATGACTGTTTTCCTTCCAGATGAAGTTCTTCATCCGTTCTCTACTTATATATATTTTTTTTCTACTTTTGATCTATGTAGTTTTATTACTAGTGTGTGGTGCATCCTTCTTGGTGCCATATTGTACCAAGTTTTTTCTGCGTTTAAATAATAATAATAATACACTCAGCATAAAGAATACGATTATAATTCTCAGCACTGACATCAAGTCAGTCAGTGATTCTACATGGTTCAACGATTGTCTTTGCTGATTCCATAGTGAGGAACAGACGGCCGATCAGAAAGGATTAGCAACATGGAACTGTGTCAGGCAATGAACTAACCAAGAAGGAACCTAGTGCCCAACAAATATCTTAAAGATAATAGAAATGTACCTGATACACATTGAAGAAACCGTTGAGTGACACAGTGTTCCAAGTCATCGCTCTAGTAAAATCCAAATAGGGAAATATGAGCTGGTTGTGGATACGAGTAACATTGTGCATCAAAGCCTCGAGTGGAATTGAACGGGAAACAGTAAGTTTGGTTTGGGTCCGAGGGTGACGCGGAGGAGATGAAAGTCTAAGAACAATCGTGCAGCCAGTTAAAGACAACTGGAGAGAAGAGGATGAGGTGACTCTAAACTGTAGCAGCTCAAAACGAAACTACCTAATAAACGGATTGATGACCTTGACAAATTTATTTACAGAAATTGGTTTAACCTGACTATGAGAATTCCCGTGAGAAATTGGGAGTTTTTTTGGAATTTATACAAGAATATTATCCTATGTAGCCACTTTTTAAAACTGCATTATTTGTATATAGACATTTATTTCATTAGACATTAGACATTATTTCAAATTGCGCACTTCTACTTCTTACTAATTTGATTAGTCGCTGGAGGTAGTTTCGTTTTGGGCTGCTGTAGTTTAGTCACCAAGGGTGTGAAATGGAGATGTGCTTTTCACCCTCTATTTCCTACTCGGAACCTAATGGAAAGCAGAACTAGAGATACGGAAAACATAGGCCCAACTGGAAAAACGGAAAAAAAATACCCTAAAAAACCTGTTTTAAACAGATCACCAGAAGGATGCCGCCATAAAAGAAACAAATCCAGTAAAACTAAGATTTCATTACAAAAGAAGGTGCACGTAGACATTATCACTCAGTATTCTTTATGAAGTTCCTAAGTTTATACCATGAATTCTTTTAGTAGGTAATGACTGAGTCTGTTGAGACTTGATTTGCGTACTCCTAGTAAATTCATAAAATTTTACTGATATGCTGGAGAGCTGTCGGTCAGCTTTGATTACCTGAACATTATGTAAATACATACATATATACATATGCGCGTCAGGCCCTCGAGTGGAAACCGAAAGGGAAGCGACGAGTGGGACGTTAGTGCGAGGGTAACATGGAGGAGATCGTGTGGAGAGGAGTTGAAACAATATGGACTAACATGGATGCAGGTGAAAAGTACAGCAGAAGGAAGACAGAAGCAAGTGTAGACATGCAGTTGAAGCCCTATGTTCCACTAGGAACCCAAGGGAACAATAATAATAATACATGAAAATATACACATCGATTTGCAAAGTGTTTTCCTTACCCAACTTTTGACGCATAATAATCTCCGATCGATCAATTTCCCATCCATCGAATTCCATACTGCCAATAGAATCACTACAAGCACTTAATCTTTCTGAATTATTTACATGACCAGAATGAATGAATGGTTTAGGTATATGTTGTCCAGCATTTATATGATGTACAGGGAAGTTGGACAATTCATTATTCGATTGAGGTGAAATAGAATTAGCTTCAAATTGATTCTGACCAGGTACTACTACTACTCGTGAATTGGGCAGTGTTTGTGGAACAGATGAATAACACGATTGTTGCATAGGTTGATTTAAAAATTGTGGTTTTGGCACAGGATAAAGAAGTGGACAAACTAATCCATCAGCAGAACGAGAATGATGCTCAATTAATTGTACAACATTTGGAAATCGATGCGCTTCTGTGATATAAAACTAAAATTAAAAAAGTTGGAATTTAATTATTTTATTTAAATAATTATTGAGATTTATAAAAATGTAACTTTTTTTTCTCAATTATGCCTACTTTTCCATTAGACAATCAGTGTTTATGAAACGATTAGATTAAACCTTGATCAGAGTTTCAAGTAGTTTCAATATTCTTTTGTAGTTTAGTGCTAACATACACCCTAAAGTAAGCTTTGGAATTTAGACAGAGTATTATTTTGATTAATGAATTGAATTTTTTTGATTTTCCCATCGATTGATTGGACCGAAGTGCTCTGTCTCAGGTTGACATGTCGGCTTCTTGTCCAGATGCTTCGACGATATCTGGGCACTGGGTTCGAGCCTCGGTGGGAAAATCATCACTCACTGAGAAATACAGGTACATCCAGCAGGAGGACGAGTCCCAAACAGGACGAAATGCGCATCCTGGATTCCACTGCTAGCCACCATCCATCAATTGTATAGAGATTATTTTTAGACAAGCGATGGTATGGTATAGCCTACATACTCTCAGTTTAGGTGAGCACCAACCACTTGCAGATAACCAAAAACGAAGAAATCCTTGTAACAATACAATACATAAAATCATGAAAATGCTATTTTATGTAGTACCATATTAATTTGTTTATTAGATATATCACACAGTGAAACACTATTATTTACTGGATGACACAGTTTCGAACACAATTTATTGTTCATCATTGTGTCAATTACAGTCAAACAACTTCGAAACTTTTGTTTTATGGTTTTCTTTATTCCTTTCTATTTGTCGTCGTCGGGGTAGTAGAATTCTCCAAATGCCCGGCTAGATAGCTGTTGAATCATTCCTATCACAGGTGTTTGCAGTTTATTCGACAAGTGAAGCTTCCGTTATCAATCTGTCTCTGCGTACTACCCGTACGACAATTAGGAAAGAATAAAGAACACTATAAAACAAAAGTTTCGAAGTTGCATTCGAAAAAATCGTCATCCTGTAATTCCAAACAAGGAAGGAACCTCGGAAACCACGTTGCACAGAATTCTTAACAAGGCAGACAGGAATAAAAGTGGCCAGAGTTCAAACCAACCACAAATTCAATTAGAAACAAGCTTTGTCGGTTAAAGGATCAATCCTGTGGAGCCTTTAAAACAAAACAATTTAGTTTATCTAATACCCTGACTACAATAAATGTCGGGTCAAATACATAGGCCAAACTAGTAGAACAGGGGCAGTCACACTAGCCAAGCATAAAAACCTAGAAAATCTAGATTGGTTGACCCAAATAAGGTAAGAAATCTAGAGAATAGTTCAGCCGTAGACAGCACTACATGCAGTTACACACAACCATACAATAGGATGGAATAAGATGACAGTTTTAAAATCTAATATCACAAGGTGGAAGGAGAGATTGATAACGGAAGCTTTGTTTATCAAATTTATTTTATTTATTTTTTTATTTTCTATTTTTATTACAGCTTGACTCCACGCCATATTTTTGGTACCAGTATGGAATTTTCAGCATGTGATATCGGTAGCCCAAATTTTGCAGGCCGACCATAGATATCAGGTGTGCGTCGGCGGGGCCTCGAACCTTGGACCATGTGCATGGTCGGCGAGAGTCCTAGCCGCTGTGTCAATGCAAATAAGTGTAATAGGAATGATTCAACACCTGTCAACCAAGACATCTGGAAAATCCTACTACCCCTACGACGACAAATAGGAAAGAATAAAGAAAACTATTAAACGAAAGTTTCGAAGTCGTGTGATTATAATTGATATGATTATAAACAATAAATCGTTCGAAACGTCGTCCAGTGAATAATATTGTTTCAGTGTGTGATACACCTAATAAAAAAATTAATATAGAATTACGTACTACCATAGCGCCCAAGTTTTTTCCCTTCACTTTTTTAATGGAACATAGGGCTTCAAGCTAGACCTTTGAATTTTCAGTAGCAGTAGTGTTTATTTTTACGGGATGAGGTTGCTAGGCTCATAGCCAACCTTCCGTCTTTACCAATCTTACCACAGGCTTAGCGAGGATTTAAGAGTGCGTCGGCCGGGGAACGAACCTCGAGTCACATGTGTGGTTGGAGAGCATGCTACCACTGTACCACCCAAGGCAAACATTATCAGGGCGAGGCGTGTGCTATATGCATACGCCTCACCCAAGTTCGTGTTTTAAATATCCAACCTGAAGCTTAAATATAACAATGAAGCAACAATTACTGTCACAGACTAGTAGGAACTCCGAACACATCCAAATAAATAAAATTTCACTAATTTCTAATTTAATGGTAAATTTTTTTATTGAATTTGAGATTTTCCTGTCGATTGACTGAACCGAAGTGCTCTGTCTCAGGTTGACATGTCGGCTTCTTGTGCAGATGCTTCGATGATGTCTGGGCATTTAGTTAGTATTTAATTGGTGGATAGTGACTAGCACTGGAATCCAGGATGCGCATTTCACCCTATTTGGGAATTAATTAAAAAATTAATATGACCCGTTGCACAAGAGGTGGCTCTCGTGGCCCAAGTGGTCTAGTGGATAACGCTTTGGCGTTTGAAACTATGGGTACTGGGTTCGAGCCTCGGTGGGAACATCATCACTCACTGAGAAATGCAGATACATCCAGCAGGAGGACGAGTCCCAAATAGGACGAAACGCGCATCCTGGATTCCACTGCTAGTCACCATCCACCAATAAATATCTAAATAACATATTTGTCTTATTACATAAATATAGCAACGCTACAATAAGCGTTGTCATTAGAGTATGTTATAAACCTAACCCTCAAGTCTGTATGTCTGAGATTACAAAATAAACATCAAAATCTCCAGACTACAAAACAAAATCAACCACAGATTGTAGGCTTTTTGAACTGAAAAATACTTTTTTTCAATCATACAAATTACTTGTCAGTGTTCGCTAATCGAATTGGTATTTTGAGGAAACTTAACAAACTTTAGAAAATGATACTCGTCGAAAAAACATTAAAAAATTTAAAATCAGACAATAAATTGCATCAGGTATCGGTTTGCAGGGATTTGATTGCTTACAAGTTTGATTACGGTTTGACATTATCTGAAGAATCATTGAAAAACCAGGAAGTACTGGATAGCTGTTTTGTCCAACTCTTCAGAAATACGTAACAACTGGGGTTCGAACCCAGGATCGTAGGACTGCAAGGCGAGCTCATAGACCGTTCAGCCACCGGGACCCAACCCATGAATACTAACTGTCCAGTGCTCCCTGAAGTTTTCCAACGGTTCTCTGACTGATGTCAACTCGTGATGAAACCGATAAGTTCTATATCCCAGCAGTAGCTCACCCTATCCCTCTCTTTAAAGCTGTAACATTCAGCTGTTGAAGGCGGAACATAAGAGACTAGGAGATTTCTTGACATGCGTCGGCGCTCAGTTTTTAATGTTAGGTGGGATAGTATAGTGAGTAATACTGAGGTTAGGCGTAGTGATATGCAAGGAGGCGAAGTCAATCGATGACACTGTGTTATGCACACCAACCTATGACCTTTCTCGTTGAGCAATGTTAACTGTCTGTCTGTCTGTTTTCGACATAGAACTTTGCACAAATGTCGCCACACTCCATGTAGCACGCGAAGCAAGAGAAGAAAGTACAAGAAAAGCATAATAGAGACAGTAAACAGAGGTGTGAGGCATAAAGAATAGTAATAACGAAGAACAATATAGTTTCATTGGAGATCATAAGTCACAAGGAGTGGATGTATCTGCGCCACTGAGAACGGTTTTGAGCCATGTCACCAATTGTTTCCAACCATAGATTTTTACCGTCCCGAGGACCCCAGCCTGGAAGTCTACACCTTTCTACGTGGCTTAGACCAACTGTTGTGGATTTCATTGACTGATGCCAAGTTTTTGTTTGACCGCCGCTAGCTTTTTTCCAGCCTGACCCTATATCCGCTAACATTGCCCATTGTCGAGGGAGGCGATGGCTTGGCATACGTAACACATGTCCTAACCATCTCAGTCTTTGTAACTTCACGACTTCGTCGATTGATTTCCCTTGTTTACCTAGAACTCTACGCCTAACCTCCATGTTGCTCACCTTATTATGCCACTTTACACGGGAAATAGAACGTAGGCACCTATGATCAAAGACAGCTAGTCTTTTCATGTCTTCCACTCTCAGTGGCCAGGTCTGGCTCACAGCCATAAAGGAGGACGGAGTGGACTGATGAGCAGTACACTCGCCCTTTGGTCGATAGTCGAACATCTCGTCTACGCCAGAGACGGCGTAAACTAACAAATGCGAAACGAGCCCCTTGTATTCGTGCTGAGATTTCGTCAGAGATCAGCCCGTTGGGGCTGATGGTACTTCCCAAAATAAGTGAAGCGGTCAACGTGCTCTACCACTTCACTTCCTATTTTTAAACTAGGCGTCGATGTAGTCCAGTCCTGTAACATCATCTTGCATTTGGCGGGAGCGAATCGCATGCCAAACATTCGTAGATTGCGGCTCAAGGTGTTTAGAAGGATCTGCATTTTGTCAGCGTCTTCGCCTAGAAGGACTATATCGTCTGCATATTCCAAGTCAACGAGATTATTCCCCGGTAGCAAGTCAATCCCTGAGTCACTGAAGTCACCTAGGGTTAAGTCCATTAACACATCTATGATGAAGTTGAATAGAAAAGGAGATAATGGGCATCCTTGACGGACACCACTGGTCGTCATCAGTTCAGATGACAGCTCGCCGTAAGCCCTCACCTGGCTGTGTGAGTACGAATAGAGTGCCTTAATCAGTGCAATATATTTTCTTGGAATTCCCTTTACAGCCAAGCATCTCCAGAGAACTTCCCGATCGACAGAGTCGAATGCTGCCTGCAATGTTAACTAACATAAGATTAGATTATAAAAGAGTCCAAGGGGTAGTGAAGTCAATACACAGGGTCAACCCGTGAAGACATTGACAGTCGCTTTGAGGCACAGAGACGGGGATCCTTCGTAGGTTAAGAATTTAACGACTAGA